CGTCTTTTTCAATATTTAATATTGCCAAGCTACTAAGTCGTTCTTGAGTCATTGAGGTTCTCAAGTATGTAAGAATTAATTTAACTTGCTGAAGGACCTTTCACAACTAGCAATAGAAACCCCAATTGTTAACAAAATCTGCAATGCAATTCTTAAATTTGGGAAACATCTTCACCATATGAAATTATAAATGTTAGCAAATCAGTTGCAACCATTGGTTCAGGAAAATTGGACTGTTTTCTTTTACTTACCAACATTCTACAGTCTTTAATTTCTCTGTACAATTCTGGTCCACCAATATCACCTGGATAGCTATTTGCGAAGTCAGACGTTTTTCTTGCAATTTTCCGTCTTCGAAATCTCCAGATACAATACTTTGCACATTTAGTAGAAATCCAAACCGTGAATCTAAATCTAGTAAGCGAAAATATCTTCCTGCTATTTCTGTAATCAAGCAATCAATAACATCCTTCATGATGCGATAAATTTCCTGTTCAGCAGTCAATCCAGCATCAGCTGCATTTTCACCTGGTCAATCCCCATATTTCACATTGATTTTTGCCCACTTTAAGTGCTTCTTGACAGGACTTTTCATGTGATTCTATAAATTTCTCTTTCAAAGAATCAAGATCAGCAGCTGCTTCTCTAAAATTCATTTTTGGGTCCTGAAGACGTTTCTGCACTCGATTGATAGATAATAAAAGATTTCTCCAAAAATGCAAAATTACAAAAAAATCAAATGTAAGCATGCGTTTCAGAATATTATGAGCACCACATTTTGTTTCAGCCGTGTTGCCATTCTCACTTAATTTCTCTAACAGTCCTAGCAATTCATTCAGTTTTTCATGTACAACTTTTACTGCCTTTTCTCTTGCACTCCACCGTGTTTCTGATTCACGCTTGACAGAGATCATAAGCTCCTGCTGCAGTTCGTCCCATCGAGTAGTTGAATGAGCAAAGAAATTATAAATGGCTTCAATTATACTTTGCTAATAACTGCAAAAGTGACAGGAAATTTCCAGAGTTTTCGTTTTAGGTTATGTCCTCAGTATGACCACGAAATGCAAGATTATGAAAAGCTAAATATTGTGTACAATCCAGCAACAGGCGCAGTACATCTCTCCATTCATTTTTTCTTGCTGAATTGGCCTTGGCAGCTCTTCATGAATGCCACTATGAAGACGAATTCGGCGCTCAGTTTCTTTCCAAGCAGCAAATAACTCACGATGACTGTCACTATTTTCATAGGCATTTAACTTTTAAATTATTTTCCACTTAGAGAATCAACCCTGTGTTTTGAAAGCAAACCGACTATCGGATGTCATACATGTAGATGAAAAAAGAAGACAACAAAAGCAGTATGCTGCTTTATGTAGAGGTAAATAAACCAACCAGGAACGATTGACCTCTTGTCCATTCAGAAGGCGTCGATGACTGCATTTTGGTTCAAAAACATTAATGTTAGATCTAGATGTACTAGCGAATTAATCTAGGAACTGTAATCCAGCACCACTAATTAGTTAGCTTATATTTAAGTTTTCTCATTCTACCAAAACCTTTAATATTCAATATAGCCTTTGAGCCTCTAGGCTTATATTATGTTAATTTTCATTCGAGCAATTCAGACTTGCCTCCTGTAGTGTTCGTGTAGTTAAACCTATCAAGTTTTTAAATGTGATTTCGCAACTGCTAGTAATTTATATGGTGCTCATAAGCATGATTTACCAGCATATACACTCATCTGCATTGAGTTTCTTACTGTTGTGTCACATTAATTAACATGAGTATGGGTGGTCTAAATAATGGCAGTTTAAGTGAAACCAGGTACAAATGTGCTTAACTAGTCCTGAGTTGCAATTATAATTGTATAATCTAAATATCATTTATGGTTAGGAACTTAGGAAAGTAGAATGCTTCCTTCCATCTGACAATTTGCATGTTGCAACTAAATAGTGTAGTCACTATTTATTAATTTATTATTTTAGCCCATTATGTCGAAAAAATAAAGTGGGGCATAGGGATGCAAAAGACGTGCACAATTTACAGCTTCGATGGTGGAGTCAACCAAATTGATGAGAGCTTTCCTTGCTGGAAGTGATGACATCAGTAAGCCAGCATCTGTTTCTTTTGATGGTAGCAAAGAGGTCAAAGTGCAAGATTGTGAGCATGCCATTTCATTTGAAAAAGAAAACAATGAAGAAACTGTTCTCTGTCCTGTTGAAAGCTACAATAATAATAAACAAGAGAATTCACTTTGTCAGAAACAAATCCACATAATAGTGTTGCTAAGCTAAAAGAGGATGACCTAATAAATATTTTAACACAAAGGGATATTGGATTAATGAAGTTTGATACAACAGGCTCAGCGGTTGTAACACATGCACATCGAACAGAGATTGTTAAAGTTGGAGCACATGAATTTCAACATAAAGAAGATCCATTTGATGCCAAAGATGGGCGTTCTAAATAACAGGTCTAACATTAATGTTAGATCTAGATGTACTAGCGCCATCTTTTTAGATTTAGGTTTGGATCTAGATGTAATAATAATGACAGCAATTTAGCTTTATACATCTAAACTAGACCTTAGATTTGGGTGCATAGATTGAAAGCACCTTGTATTGAATCTACCCAGATCTAGATATAACCCTGCCTCATCAATTCTAGATTTAGATTTATTAGGCCTAACATTTAGAACAAATGTTACATCTAGATCTATTAACTTAGTCATTAGATCTGTCCCAGTGCAATGCCTAGTTTAATAGTTAGTATAGGTCTAAGTATGCCTATAATATAGGCTACAATTTGTATGATGATGGACCTAGGGTCTAGAAATAAAGTTATAACTTCAATTAGACCTAAAGTCTAGTACATTAGTTGGTGTAAGACATGATTTACAATCATCCAATACAATTACAAACCGCTACATTAGGCCTATAATATTTACTAGATCTAGGCCTTGCCTGTTGCATATACTGCCAATCTTGCACACCAGTTAATATGTTACATCAATCTCGTATTTTCTTTTTGTTGAACATACATTTACTTGTACATTGTACTCTATATTTGATCTACAGATGAATTTCGGTCTCACTGTATTTCAGTGGGTGGCTTTTATAAGTTAAAACTGCAAGCTTAATACACACAAATAACGTAACACTGTGTCGTATTTACTTAATGTAGGGCAGTTGCACTATATCCTAGGGGAGGGCATAATTATTAATTAATAGGCATTGTAGGCCAGAGGAAATTTTGCACCCAGGAGCAACTGCCCCCCCTTGCTACGCCCCTGCTTCCTTCATACTCCCCACTACTACTTCACTGTCGTTTTTTAGAGATGACATTAAATACAAAACTGCACACATATTATGCCATAATCATGTAAAAACTGGCACATCATGTGTAAGGTGTATTTTTTTTGTCATCTCCTGACAATTTTTGAATGCTAGCAAGTTCCTTGGAGATGACAGGTGTTTCAACAAGTATTAATGGAAGCTATAGGTGTAGTGTGCTCATAGAGGGAAATTCACTGTGCTATGATTTTCAGCAAATAAGTTCAGGTTTTAGGATTATGGCTGATTAAAATTTAAGGAATCCTGCTGACCATTTGATATAAATTATACTGATGTGTACTAAGATATTTTAGCACTGGCTACAATTGCTTCAGTTGTGCCACTGCCCAAAACGTCAAGTAACCTTGCCTCACAAAAGACCATGTATATAACCTGATGACAACTGTATTGCAGGGGCTTAGTCAACTAGACTTCAACTATGACCCATCCATCAAAAGTTTTAGTAAGCTTTCAAAGCCTCAAACTAAAAATAATGTAAATAATCACTATGTATAAGTGACCATTTAGCATATATGCAATTTCTGGCTACCCATACATTCATGGTACACATTTTTTAAAATCTGAATCCAACCATTGTTTTTGCCACTTGGGAGATCAAAATGTGTTTTTTCATTATGTAAAGTATTAATCCCAAATTCAACTATTTCTGATTTTACCATTTAGTATTTGACAAACATACATAAATGCAAAATGTACTAATTATGGAAAACATCAAAGAATGTAAAGTTATGTTTGTAGAAATAAGTTATAAGAACTTAAATCAATTTATGTAGAAAAAAAGTTTTAAGACACAACAAGCCACTTCTTTAACAAACTTGTAGTTTTAACTAAATATCTTAGAACCAGACAGACACTGTTAATACTGTAAAAACATCATTCTCTATGCATACAAACATAGCTGTTCAAACTTACCAGTTCAAACACTCAAGAATAACACAATTCAAATTCAAAATGCTGTCAATTTAATCTTTCTGTTATTTCTGACAAACCTTTTTACATTACAAACAAAATTTCAGTAATAGTTTCTGTAACACACTACTAGGATTCAGCAAAGGGAACTTTCCAATCTTTCAAAACTAAATCTTGCCATAGATGACTCAGTAATGAAATGTCCTCTGCTATTCCATTCAGTTTTTTGACATATTTTTTCCTCCAATGTTTTCACCATCTGTAAAAATGTCACTAGCATAGTCTGATGAAGCTGTTTTACCAGCAGATTTTCCTGATTTTTCCTCGAGTTGTACATTCTTTTTGCTTTCTCCTTGTTTTGACCCTGTTTTCCTCAATACATGTGATTTTTTTCTGATATTGTGTAACTCTTCAATGATATCTTCATGACCTTCTCGCCTCATTCGAGCTTCCCAATCATTCATCTCGTTGAAGTAACGTTCCTTGTCTGCTTCTGATTGTTTGTAAAAAACCTGTCATATAATATTAGAAAAATATATATATAAATGATGTGAAAAGATGTAATGTAAAAAGCCTTGATAGGAATACCTATTAAATGCTAAATTCATAATTTGTTTTTCTTATAATACTGCAGCATGAATATTTTGGGGGTGGGGGAATTCTTGCAAAAACTCTAATTAGCTTATTAAAATACATTACATATGAACTGAAAATTTTAAGAATGTTTTTTTTTCTACCTAAGTTATAAATATTCTGTTAGCTGTTCAAAGCTCAACAATAATGATCATACATTAACAATCTGGAGATAACCATCTACAATTCAAGCCAAAAAATAAGGAAATAATCATTCATTAGCAGATTATTTTAAGAATTTTTTTTCTAACTAAGTTATAAATATTCTGTTAGCTGTTCAAAGCTCAACAATAATGATCATACATTAACAATCTGGAGATAACCATCTACAATTCAAGCCAAAAAATAAGGAAATAATCATTCATTAGCAGATTATTTTAAGGGACAAAGTACTCTTTCTATTGGACATAAACGTGTTTATAAAAGAAGGACAAGTGGCACAGATAAATTTGTACAAAGCTATGACAAGATGGGAGAAACCTCAATGGTGCATGTCAGAATTTTATTTACATCCCACTAATTCAAAAAGTGTGAGGTTCAAATTTTATATTCTAGTCTGTCAAAATCTATAACTTGAGTTTTTGATTGGTTGGCCTCAAAACAACCTTAGAAGGGAATGGAGGGAGTCAGAGGGGAGATGGGTCATGAGATAAAATCAAGATTAAGAATTCATTTAAATATTTCCTTTTGAAATTAAGAAATTAAAACTTAATATAAAACTTTGAGTTATAAACTATGTTTTATTACCAAATTTGTTAACATACATTGTTAATAAACTTGTTTAATTAAGCTTTGAATGTAACTTTGTAAAAACATTATGAAATGTGCATTTTGACCTAGCCATGCACATAGGATTATCCTATTCTTGTTGGGAAGAGGGGATCAGAAGCAAAAGTTGGTGTGAAAACAGTCAATCATATTTGTCCAAAGACAGAGGCAATAAGTCAGGAATCCTGGTCCTGAGATAATAATGGAACCAACCACCTGATGCACAATGGTAGTAGCATCAATGGCCATCAGAAGGCAGCCAGTCATCATAAAAGTAGTAGATGACTCCTACTGAGCAGCCTCAGAAGATGTCAGAAACATGTAAAAATGAATTCATAATTAAGATGAGCCATGAAACCACCTTTTGTATTTTTCTGTCTTTTTTTTTTTAAAGTTGACCAGGTATGTCTAAGGTACATAGGCCTAGATTACTGATGAATGACAAAATGAAAGAGGTCATAATAAAACCTGTATGCTAGGTTGGACATGCCAATGTGAGCTGTAATGATGTGGTAAAACTCCAAAATCGTTTTTAAATAATATACTCAACCCTCTGTATTGTACTTAAGATGGATACATTGGCTATAAAATAGACAGAAAGACTGCTGTTATTTTGAGACACAATGAACTAAGACTTTCTTTTTTTTTCTTGTGATATATCTCAGATAAGCTTTTTTTTTTCAAATAACATTTCTAAGTTCTTAAAATTCGTCTCCATAAAAAAACAATGCTTATATGTGGTATATGTGCAGAAAGACATCTATACAGCTGACCTAGTCTGAGTATCAATAACCTTGAAAATACAATAACTAGAACAGTATCATCCAGTCATGCTCCTGAACATCCTGAATACCCTACATTTAAAAAGAATTACAAGAGGTATTTTTGTAATAGATAACAGACCAAACAATAGAAGAAAGCATAACCTTTACTATAATGTCTCAATCAGGAAAAACTCTTGCAGAAAGTAGGTAGCAAACACGAAAGGCAAAAAACTATGAAAGCAAACGAGAAGAAATAAGAAAATTATCATTATCAAAAAGACTAGCCTTTTAACACTAAACTGAAAAAAAGAAAAGGTTAGAAACACAATTCCAGTTTAAAATAATATTAATTATAAAAGAGATGAAGAATAAATTGAGAAAAATTGGCACTAATGTCTGTTAATAAAATAGAAAAGAGAAAGAACAACATAAATGTGCTACAGACTGACAACGATGAAGTACTGAAATGTAGATAATAAATACTGTGATAAAAATTGTTTTATATTACATTTACTGAAGAAAATGTTAAAAGTAATAGGAAAACTAAAGAATAATACCTATACAACACATACAGTTGAAAAGTTTTTGATAATACCTTTCTTAATTTATGGAGTAAATCTTTAATACCGTATGTTTCAACTGTGTGAACTATCTATTGACAATAGAGAATTTTTGAACGAAATAAAACTGCAACAAGGTGGGATTGGAATTCACAATTTTATTTTTTGTGAAAATTCTTTAGCCATTTAAATTATTGGGGTTCAAATGCTCCAAATCTCAGGTCTAATCATTAGCAGAAGCAAACTTTTTAGATGTTTTCAAATGAATATTCAGATACTAAAACTTTTATTCAACACAAATGGGACATTAATGGATTCTTTCTAACGTACTTCTGCAAGTGCAAACAATCATATCATATAAGAAGATATTTTGTTCCCCAACTTTCCAGGCAAAATTTCAGAGTACATTCCAAGTATTATATATACACATTTAAGACAATAATATCAGGTCACAGTTCTGTTGCTAAGCGACTAAAGCAAACAGAGCATTACCAAAAGATGACTGTCTTTTATATATATTAGATATCTAACACTATAAAACAACATGGTTTGTATATGTTTTGAGATAAAAAAGGTGAGAAGCATAATTTTCCTTGACTTTTACTTTTTCAGGTTTTGGAATGCTTTTTCAGTTTCCTCTAATTTTCTGATTTTTCCAGGATCATGATCACTCTGAAGAAATACTTACCTCTTTATCTTCTTCTGTCATACTGTTCCAGTATTCAGACATACCTTTCACATATTGCTGGAAAAGTTTCTTGATGTTAGAATTTTAAATAGTATTTCAATGTTACAAACAAAAACAAGAAAATCCTTGATTAACACAAAAAGAAGAATAATAACACATCAGATAATGTACATGTACAACTCACATTTTTGAATGTATTAAGAACATCTTGTTATACACAGTTGCCATTAAGCAACAGAATAAAATATTTAACACTGAATAGAGGTATAGTTATTGTTTATCAAAGATCATAAATATTTAAGTCTGTATGGTTGTATAGCTCCCATTTATCAACCTACATGAGACTGTAAAGATGTATGGTTGTCATTAAGTAACTGATTAAACTATACGATACTGAATACAAGCAAGATTTATTTGCCAACTTACTCAAAATATGCAGTACTTTAAGTATTTATTTTTATCACACTATAAGAAACATATGATATTGTCTGATTAAACTAGAACATGTAATATTTTAAATACTGCAAAATACAAACTGTAGACAAAAAATAAATCACAGTCACAAAAATCACTCTGTCACATTCTTTTAAACATCTTTATCTGACTCTTTCTTTGTCAGTTTCATTGTGCAGCAAACAAATGTTTTTCTTTTTCATAATGTCACTAATTTCAAAATGCAATGAGTGACAACTTAAATTTATGATATACCTTTGATATAAAAAGTCATTTCTCATAAAATCTCATGAAATTCTATTAAACTTCAGAATTAACTCTCTCGACACAGGCTCAGTCAATTTGACTGACCACGTGACCTCTTTGTACTTGTTTAAAGTCTTTACCTTACAGAATGTAAAAGTGTGTCCATCACTGTACATTAGACAAATCCAAAAAATTCTTACAGAGCATTTCAAAATCCTCAAGTCTTCTATAAACATATAAACTGGCCTTTCTGCTGCCCAGTATTTCAAT